TTAGGTGTTAGATATGTAAATACATAGGAATTGTGGGGGGTGGGGTAGGTATGTAAATATCCCAAAAATAAAAGACGAGAGAGGGAGAGATATGGAGAACTATAATAAATTAAGATAATGGGTCTCCTGCTTCCCCATGTCCGCGCCTTATTATGCCAACGTTCGAGCATATTTTAAGCTCGATGATGGCATCATAATACAGTGATTTTCTAATGCTTGTAATGAAAAAGTCCCACACTTAATCAGCAAAATTATGTTTACATACACACGATTGAAGATCAAAACACTTCACAGTCCACATGCTTTTTGATAGTTGGACTCAAAGGAGAACAAAACCGCTAACAACAAGCCAACCGAAGCTCTTAAGCTCAGGGTTTCAAATAGCATACAAAAATTACATTCACTGAGAATTATTCATCAAGCAAAACAAACCCACCCCATCTCCTTGGCTACATGAGTAGAGAAATTTGACACATTAACCAAAAAAAATAGCTAATGATCACAGTTATCTGCAGTGCCCTTACAAGTTAATAAGGTATAACATCACAGATGAACAGTAGGGCCAAAGTTTATAGTAACAGATCCATTTCTGGCAACAATTCGTACTTTACGGAGGGGCTGAAAGTGAACTACTTACATGAGCCTTAATTCATATTCACCAGCCATTGTAATGTATCTAACCCATGGAAGGGCCTGGTAGCCACTTTTCTCAATGATTTTCAGGTATCTCACCTGAAAAGCAAATATTTGCAGTGGTAAACTGATATGATTCTACTATCTATCGTAATAAAGTAAAATATTGATCAAGTTAATTATCAAATCTCAGTTGTGTGGTTTTTATTGGATGGGAAATAAAGGCTACTATGATCGAGTTGTTCGAAATAATTCCATGAAGTATAGTCAATCCTAAAATTTTTTGCTATCGCGATTCTAATTTTCAAATAAAAGTACAAAGTTCGGTTAGTCTTATTTTAGGAAAATTTACATATGTAGCACAGAATTGTTATGTATTTACATATCTCACATCTAAACTTTCATATTTACATATATGGTGCTTTAAATCTATGCATTAAAATGTGTATTTCCCTTTTCAAATGTGATAGAAGTGATATTTTTGATGTGATATTAAAGATTTGAATGTTGTGTAAATATAAAAGTTTAGGTGTGAGATATGTAAAAACATAAGAACAGTGTACTATGTATGTAAATGCTCCTAGTTTTTTAATTAATGTAAAAATCGAGATCCTTGTTTTATAGAAAGAAATGAAGAAGCAAGATAAATTAAACAAAAAATATAGCCTATTATGCAACTAGTTCTACGTGAGGCCATACTTAATAGACAAAGAAGTATCAGTGGGGTTGACAATTAAATGAGGTGTTAAAAAGTAAAAATCATTGATGCACAACTAATATCAAAATTAAAAGAAAATTAATTTAGAAAAGAGCACCTGAATTCCAGATACAGTGAAGTATGGGATCTCAAATTTAACACGTATTGGAGCCTTCTTCTCTGGTGTTGATTCTTCTGCAGTTATACTGGGTAGACTGAACTCTGCCCTCACCATATATTCCTAATATGTAAGTGCCGTGTCAAAATCACCAATCAACAATAAACACGTTTGCGGTGAAAACATTACGGGGCTGTTTGGGATCACTTTTAATTTTTGTTTTGAATATGTTTTTACTTAGAAATTAAATATATTCAGTATGTTATAACATGTTTGGCTGTTTTTAAAAATACTTAAAACAACTCTTAAATATTTTAAGTGTTTTTAAAAACAAACTAATTTGATTTTTAAAATAAAAAATAAAAAGATGCAAAAATTACACTAAACAAACATATATTTAACATAAAAGCAAAAACAAAAACAAAAATAAAAAAAGTGATCCCAAACACGCCCTAAGCAATCACTTCTATGGATACCAAAAAAAAAGCAGTGCATTGATGACAACAAAAATGTTCAAAGTCACAGCCCCTTCTTTTCCATTAAATGAATGCAACAAGCAGTTGTTACTCGAGAAGGCTAAAGAAAGCATTTGGGTGTCATTAGAGTTTACTTTGCATCAAATCAAATAATTCTTAGGTATAAATGTAACAACAAAGTCACCGCATTCTATGAATCAACAAAATATTGTTTCAAGCAACCGAAAATCCCTTTACTGCAACAGCTGACAACCGAAAAGTAAAAAAAAAAGAATTGTTAAAATTCTTCTGGTTAGCTTTACCTTCCCACCAGGAAAAGATTTTATTTTCCAAACCAGTGCATCCTTTTCTGGTGCATATGAAGCCGAACCCATGGAAGTCCTTACATTTGGGTTAGTGGCATCCGATGGAACAGGTATCTCAATCTCAACATTTGTTGCAGTGCTGCAGTTTATTTTAGAATAAGTATGTAAATCTCTGAACAAGAAAATGAGGGACAATGTATATTAGAGCTCAGGAAAAAGGCAATTTAGTAGTAGAGAGCACCTTCTTTCCTTAAATTGGCCTTCTTTCCTTAAATTGGCTTCTTTGCCTTCACCATCAGTTCAATACGGCTTCTTGAATGTCTTTCAACTTGAGCTTCTACCCAAATTAAAGGCTTCACCTAAATGATTCAGCACAGAGAAAACACATGAACATGTAAATCAGGTCAAAGAAAGACAAGCTCGGGTTTCCTAAGAAGTAGGAAATAAATTAGAGCAGGAATTAAACCTGTGTGCTTAGTCTATAGGTCATCAGATCAAAAGAGCCATCAGGTGGTATGAAGGATATGGTTCTGTCATTCTCAAAACGAGCCAAACGCACACACCTTCGCATAATATCAGGCATTAGCTAATTTTTCAAATGATATTGTTAATTGTGGCAATCAAATTTTCAAATCGATTCCCGATTAGTACAGTAAGAAAAAAAAGGGGGGTTCACATACATGGCATAAAATTCCTCGGTATTTGCATCTCACACCTAAACTTTCATTCTTACGCACGTAGAATTTAAATCTTTAATATCACATTAGAAATAGCAATATTACCACTTTTTAAAAGTGAAATACACTTTTTCATGCATAGGTTCAAAGCATCAAAGTGCTATGTATGTAAATATGGAAGTATAGGCGTGAGATATGTAAATACATAAGAATTGTGTGCTAGGAATGTAAATTTCCTAAAAGAAGAATGGAAAATAAATAACATTAGATTCCAGCTAAAATTGCATACTGGTGGAACTTGATATCATCCAGATCTATGGCCTTTCCCTTTGATGATCGACCTTGAGCCTCCAAAAGAACTCTGTCATTCAAACCAAGCTTACATTCCGGCATTCCACTGTGGAAATAAGACCCCCATCAATCATGTTACTATATACATCAAATATGAAGATCATTGCCACCATCAACATCAGAAAAATTCAGAGCAAAACATCATTAAGAAAAATTGGCTGCCCCTTGAAGGATTCAAACATGCACTTCAATAAAAAACTTTACCCCACTGTCCAATTTTGTATGACTGGCTCCATGATTTCATGAACAAGCAAAAATGGTGAAAACAATTCACTTTTCTGGCCAAAAGTTGCTATCTAGAAACTCTAGAAAAGGACAAAAAAATTGCATGCAATCAAGAAACGCTCACTTTCCTATAATGCACTAGCCAAACTCCTCTTGAATACTTCAATTTTCTCTCTCTCTCTCTCTCTCTCTCTCTCTCTCTCTCTCTGCATTATAAGTACACCATATAAACTCTGTTGAAGAATAGAATTAGTGAAGTTCGTTTGATGGGTTGCAAATATCGGTAAAAGCTTGGTGGCTTGATTTTTAGAGAACTACGGGAAGTTCTCTAGTTTACCATATTGTTAATTTTACCCATTTCCTATCTCCCCACTCTCAGCCTAACCATATCCCTTACCCCCTAACCCTCTCCTCAACAACCCTAATTTCTCAGCCACTGCGAATAAAACTCTAATCCAAGATCACTATCAGCCTCCCAAGTTCAATCCCACCCCCACAGAGCCGAGAGTGGAACCGGCCTCATGTTTTATGGGGGTCAAACTAATTATATAAATAAATTAATTTTATCAATAATAAAGCAAATAATACATAATTCAAAATAAAACATTCTATTTCAGTTAAGTGGGTAGTACTACTTCACTCAAAATTAATTCTCAAAGTCTTCCTATTGTGTGAAATATTGAAGAAAAAAGAAAAATCCAATTTGGAATGTTAACATCCACATCGAATAATATATTTGATCTAAACTAATAATTTTGACCATGTAATAATAATTTAATAACAAATCTATAAAAATAAATCTTAAGCGTAATCAAGCTTCTGATTCGACTAAAATATGAGGGAAGAAATTGTCAAAATTTAAGAAAATAATACAATATTGTGCACAAGCTTAAGAAGCTTCTGATTCGACTTAAAAAGCTTATGAACAAGCACTTTAAGATGCTTGATTAAAGCTCGATATTAATTTAAAATTAAATATGAATTACAACTAAAAATATAATTTACATTAAATAAAAAAAGCTTTAAAAGAATTTTAAAATAAATGTAATTTCTCAAATTTCTCAAACAAGTATAGCATTTTTTTATCAAAAACAAATACATAATGGGAGAAAGCACAACTAAATAATAAAAATAAAAAAAATATGTAGATACATTGGGATTGGGTGGTATATGTGTAAATTTTGCCCCTAGGTCAATAGGGATTGGGTGGTATGTATGTAAATGCCACTTGGTAAAGAGTTTCACGTTTTCCCGTGAAAGGAGCTTTTGCCCCACATTGTAAAAGAATAAAATATTTATGTTCTTTAAATTTGGAAGCAAAGCCTAACCCTCTGATCGGGTTAAGCGGCATTTGGCTTGTAGGTTGGAGTGGAGAGTTTGAAGCATTAAAGAAATATTATAAAATAATTTTTATTATATTATCCAAATTTATTTATCTTCTAAAAAATTATTATTTATTCAATCATGTTGCTTTGTCATCATTTATTCACTCCTATTGAATCAGGATGAAGCAGATAAAATAAAAGAAATTTTGATTAAAAATAATTTACATACGTACAACACAGTGTGACTCGACAAACGTTAGTAGAGAATGGGCTGCTGGGACAATTGCCCCGAGTTATACATGGATCCACTTCTGCACAAAGCTTTGTTACAAGTCCCAATGAAATAAGTTAGTTGTTCATCTAAAAACGCAATGTTGGTCTTCACCAATATCGCTATTGTGCATAAAACCCTAATCCAAGGTTGAACTAACATTCCCACTTCCATCAAACCCTAATGCAGTCTCCACTCCAAAACAAAAGCTTTACAGCATCTCAAAAAGGGAAATGAGCTAGTTGTGCATTTGAAAATCGAGAGTCAGTCTTCGCCAAGCTTGCTCGCATCCATCAATGGCTTGCTCACGCATGCCCGTGTAGTCACAAACGCTTCATTCGTCTCAGCTTTCATGTCACTTGATTTGTCATAGCTTTTCTAGTGCTCATGCTTAGGTGGGGCTTTCAATGTCTGTCCCTCCTGCACCTAAGGACATCATTCTACCTTCTTCTGTTATTTTCCCATATATTGTATTTGTTCACTTCCTTTGGCTTAGAACAGTAGCATAGCTGCCATTCCAACTTTTAATATTGTTCCATGCCTTTATCAAGCCAAGCCACTCTCATCTTAATCGAAGAAAGGATTTCGAAGCTTGTAATGCCTCTATAGAATTCTCATTTAACAACCCAACTGAAGATTCTCCGCAAATTTATGTCTGATTTACAATTTAGTTGATGATCATTTTGTTGCACATATTAACCCTTGTCAATTACTATAATTTCTCCAAAAGAAAACCACAAAACTTCTCTTAACAGTCCTATATTAGTGTTTTCTTGATGTGTATAGTAAAATGGCCACCCCATTTTGACTTCTCCAACAAGCAAACAATTACTCTAATTTAAATTGAATTCTACCGACATCATTTACATTACTTCAACTAATCCCTTTATAATCTGTGAGTTCAATATTTGATCAACCTTTATAAGTGGATAATATTACTACACATCTTTCAAGGCCTTCTACTGATAAAATTTTAGTTGAATGAACTAGACTTACATCTCGATTAGAAAATAAAATATGGATTGCCAAGTAGGCTTACGAATACCAACAGCGAGTTGAATTTCAAAGACATCTCAACATATTATTCATCCTGTAAAATTCTTTAGCATAATTTCTTTGAATATTTTAAGACTCGTTTAGATTAGAAAATCCAATTATTAGGCATAAGAGCAACAATCAAACAACCATGTGTGTTTCGCGGCCAACTTGGAGATACTCCTTTATTAGATCAAATCAACAATCAAAATTTGGGATCAATTTTAAACTCTCATTGAATTTAGGGTTATGCCAAAACCTGCTAGCCCTATTGCACTATTTATGTTAACACTTGTAAACATTAACATTAATATTGATCCACACATTACTTGAACACCTCACCTCCTTCCAATTTATGAACATAAAGGTAATCAAAATGATTAGTAACTTTAGGACTTAACTATGATGAATAAAAGATTTCAAACTTTAAATCAGGTGAGACAAATCTAGAAAATCTATCATCACTCATTTATTCTCACGAAACTTCAAAATCGGCTGAGACATATAGAAAATCTACCATCACTCATTTATTCTCACGAGGCTTCAAGCAAAACGGTCATTTGAGACTTCAAAATCAGGTGAGACAAATCTAGAAAATCTATCATCACTCATTTATTCTCACGAGGCTTCAAGCAAAGCGGTCCAAATGAATCATTTTGAAGCCTTCATGTTCCTAGGGATTTCACGATAACTATATTTTGTTTCGTGTAATTTCTTTTTTCTCTCAGGAAATTCTTGATAAAAAGTATCATATCATTTTTCAAGTTATAAAATTTGCTTAAAAATAAAAGCTTCCCAACATTTCTCAATGTTTCAAGAAAAAGCACTTCACAAGCTCTCAACTCGAGCTTAACCTTCAAATCATCATAAACTTAACCTCTCAAAGTGTTTCAACAACATCTCCACAACACCAAATAAGTGTCTTCTCCCACAAGATCTTTCCAACACCATCACATCATTAATTCTTATTTATTGTTAATTAATTTTAAAGCCATGCATTGTAATGCAATTCTTTAAGCATATTTTCAAACCTTAACTTATGACAGCTGGGTCTTTGGACCTTTTATCATAAATTATCCTCATAAAAGCACCTAAACATATATTATATGATATATTTGTACAAGCACATGCTATGTGTTTATTGTGTCTCCACAATGTAATTAGGTAAATAACATACTCATGATACGCTTTATTCTGTCTCCACAATTTAATTAAGTTGATAACATACTCGCATGCTATGTAATTTTTATGTCTCAATATTGTGCACTTGTTACACTATTCAGGATAGTAATAGTTATCCTCCCCCCCTCCCCACCCACACGATTCACACCCAACTAGAACACAATAATTAAAATACAAATAATTTTTTCATTTCAACAAAGTTAAAACATCAACAAGCGATTAGTAGATTCTAAAAAAGCACAAGACAATAGACTAGAATTATGACAAAGTTTCAAACCAGATCGCATTCTAATCAAGCTAGACAATAATTTGTATTTTTATAATCATCCAATATTTATTTACTAGATAGACATTATCATTTTTTTTAAGATTATCTTCTCTTTTTGAATTAGATAATATGATTTTTTCTACATTTGGGATTTTAAAATTTGAAATGTCTTAAATGTGATCTTATTTCTATACAAAAGAAAAACCATGTACACTCATTATAAAATCATGAATACAACTTCAAAGCAATTTCTATTATTCATAAATTTTCTTCCTCTCCCCATTGAGTATTCTCTCTAAACTCGAAATACTTCTTGAAATGATTCTCTCTCCTCACTCTCTTCCCAAGGGACCTATATACAAATTCCAAGGTGCCAACACTCTTTGAATCCTATTGGGAGTCAAAAACTCTACTGCTTTTCTCTCTCTATAACTCTCTCTACTAGCCAAATTCAATATCTTTCAATAAAGAATCAAAACCAAACAGAAAAACAAGAATTCAAGGTAAAAATAAAATTCTCTTCATCAAAGTTTCATGAGTTATTCTTACTTGTAAAAGCATACAAAGCTTACTCTACCTTTGTCATACCTTACTTTCACCCAAAAAAACTGCATATTTTCATAATTAGAACCCCAATTATTTAACATGCGCTTTGTGAATCCAACCTCTTTGGCCATTCCTATTAAATATTACATGTGTTTACACGGGTTTGTGCAAACCTCCATGCCTTCATGATACAT